CTCTGTCTGTCTCTCTGTCTCTCTCTCTCTCTCTCTCTCTCTCTCTCTCTCTCTCTCTATCTATCTCTCTCTCTCTCTCTCTCGCTCTCTCGCTCTCTTTCGCTATCTCCTGCTCTTGTCCTCGTCCATGTCCACGCCATCACCCCAAACAAATTCCCCAAAAGGCTGCGAATTTGCGGGCGGCTAAGGTACCTGTGGAGGGGGATGCCGCTCTTCCGCGTGCTGCGAGTCAAGTGGTCCGTGTTCCACCGCCTGCTCGAGCTGACGAACCACCGCATGCTCTACGGCACGCCCGACTTACCGGCGACCCTTCGTCGGCGTCGCGAGCTCCTTCTCGACTACTCACGCCTCTTGCAGGAGCGAGGTGAGTTCCCCGCTCTTGAACAAAACGATGCCACACGCAACGAGTATTCAACACTCTTAAGACTTTACGCGCATTTCGGCGGTCGACGGCTTCGCTTTGCTCACAAACAAAATAGGGAGAATGGTGGCTCGGGTGGCTGATTGAACGGGTTGGACCTCGCATGAGTTGCGTTTCCACCCATGCCTCGAAACATGCCTCGAAAGGCGGAGCGGACGGTGTAGGGAAGAAATCGATTCCTATCGAACGGCGGTGGAGAGCCGTCAGGAAATTTGATCGTCGAGCTTCTCGTTGTTGTCGAGAACGGACAACATGTCGAACGGAGAGAACCCCCCAGAAAACACAATTACATTCCCCCAGTGCCTAATCAAAGAACGCCTACCCCCTCTGGAGGAGGCCATCGTCTAACAAATGTCAATCACGTCCAATCCTCCCAGGTTTTGTCCCCGGCCGCTACGCTCCAGAGGTACTCCTCCCGGCGACGCTTGATCCGTCGGCACTGTTTCAAAGGTGGAAGCAGTACACGCAAGCGAGAGCAGCCGCGCGCTTTCTGCGATGCTCTCTGCGCCGTCGCCACCTCCACCGCGTCGCCCGCGTGACGTTTGACGGGTGGCGGACAGGGCTGGGCCCGAGACATGCGCAGAGGGCGGCGGAAATGAGGACCGCGCCTACGGAGGCAGAGGCGGGGGCCACCGTCGCCCAGTCAGCTGCTGCAGCGATAGGAGTGCCGGGTTGCTCCTTAAAGCGAGCACTGACAGAGGATGCTGGTCAAATCATCGAGGAGGAAGAGGAGGAGGAGGATGGCGGTATTGCTGCCGGGGGGGCGCAGACTGGGGATTCGAGGAGGTCGCGACGTGGTGAGGATGGTAATCTGAGACAGCAGAAGGTGTCGTGGGTCGAAGCCCGCTTGGAAGCCGATCTGAGGGTCGCCAGGAGGACCGTGATAGTCGGTTGGAGAAGCTCCCTGACACGAACCATCGGGTTGAGGCATGCGAAGCGCGAGCATCAGCTGAAGGAGGGAGCTCGGCGGATCCCTACGTAAGAACAAGACACGATATTAATATTGTTCTTGTGGGGAATAAGATTGCAGCCGATCTTTATCATTCGGATCCTATCCATCGTCATTGTTGAACCGTCTACACTTTCATCAATCCATCAACTCTACATTTTTTCTAGACTATGGTCGTCCGCGTACACACCGTGGTTGCTTGATGTCCCACCCCAGAGCAAACGGGAAACAAACACGCGTCCACAATCTTGTTCTTCGTCATCTGGGAAACCAAATATTAGCTTCCTTGTCGCCAACGGCGGCAGAAAGTTGACTCGGATCCATCCTTCTTGTTTTTTCTGTCAAAGCTTACGGCTAACGCAGACTTCTCCACGCCCCTCGTCTGACGATTGACCCCTTTTGCCGCAACCGAAACAACCACTCTTGACCCTCTCTGTGACCAATCCATACATATGTATGCAAGGTTTAAGAAGTTCCTGGCTTTCCACACGTGGCAAGCTACCGAGCGCGTGCGAACCGAGGCCCGGCTCCTCGTCGACGCCTTCCTCAACCGCGGGCACCTCAAGTTCCAAGACCAAGAGCTGCCCGACATGGTGGGCCGCACCAACGAGAAGGGCAGCGGCTCCGGCCTGATCTTCTTCCGCGACAAGCCCGTGCCGGGCTCCAACCTCGTCTGCGAAGTGCGCGTCATGACGCGGGTCGGGGAGGGCGTCGTCGGCATCCAGCTCGTGATGGCGGCGGGGAAGCGGACTACCGAGCTCCCCGTGCACGGCGCGGCGGTCGGCGAGAACCGTTCCACCCGCGCGCACCGCTTCGCCGTCGACGCACCAGTGGAGCGGTTGTCCCGCTTCGAGTGCGAGCACAACGACGGCCTGATCGAGCGCATACGCGTGGTCACCTCCGGCGGGCGGTGGAGCCCCTGGTTCGGGGAGAGGCTCACGGCGATCCCGTACACGGCTGTGCTGCCGGACTGGCAAGTCCACTCGCTAGCGGCGACGACGGCACAAGCGGCTACGGCGGCCACCAAAGCTGCTACCGTGGCGTCGGTCGCGAGCCTCGATGAGGTGTCTTCCACGGAGAAGGCGGCGACGGCCCTCGCTGCGGCGGAGGCCCAGACGGCGGCAGCGAACGCGCCCGAGTGGGACGTCCAAAAGGAGTACATCACGGGACTGGTGGGTGTCAGGACGCAGGAGAGGTTGGTGGGACTCGGGGTGGTCACCCGCCACGTCACGAACTCTCACGTGTTCAGCTACCTGTGGGAGGCGCCAGACGAAGACGAGGGTGCGATGCACGACAAGAACTCGCAAAGCAGCCTCGATGGGCGCCTTTCAACCAGCGACAAGACCGGGAGTGACACGTCTCTCGCATCCAATTCACTCACCAGCATCGACGGCAGTACCACGGGGGAGCGGAGATCGTCGAGTATGAACCCCCCTCAGGCAAGACCTCCCCCGCCGACAGTAGTTGGAGGAGCAGCCCCAGCAAGCGAGATCTCGAATGGTACCGAGGCCGGCGAAGGCGGGGACGCAACCGGGAACAGGTCTCACATCTCCCCGGCGTTGAGTAGTGGGTCAACCCTCTCAAGAGTAGAGGCCAAGCAGCTAAAGTTCGCGCAAGAAATGCGAGATCGAGAGAAGCTGAGAGAAGAGCGCGCGCGCCTAGCCAAAGAGAGAGAGGAAGAAATGGAACGCCTCATGAGAGGCGGGAAACCCAACGAGGACGAAGACGAAGAGGATGGAGACGAAGACCCGTCCTCCTTTTCCTCGCCGGGCATGAGTGCGACGGGGAAAAAAAGGAGAAAGCGCGGCCGTACTCCGCCTGCGGCTCACGAAGAGTTCTCCTGCATACTACGAATGCGACGGACAGACGCGCGGTTTGCACTTGAGCGTTCGGTCGCACTGGCCAGAAGGGCCCGGACATACACCGGTACCTCTGCGAATAACTTCGACGAGGCGAGCGGCGCGCTTAGCACCCTGACGGTAACCGTAGGGTTGACGAACTGGCTGCACTCGGCACTTCTTCCACAGCTAGTGCCGCTGCCCGTCCTGGCGACGACCACCACGGACATGTTCGATAGGGGAGAGAAGATGCTGATGACGGCGAGGGTAACCAAGGCCCGCGGGAACCGAATGAAGAACGCGGCCGAGAGCATGAAAATTGAAAAACAGAAGAGAGGCCGCAGGGGGGTCATGTCTCCGAGACAGAGAGCGCAAGAGATCCGAGACCGCGAGGTCAGGATTCACGAGGAAGCCGTAACAACAGTGACCACCCGCGAGTACCTACCTCTGACACACGAGCGAACTTGGAGACATGACTCGTTTGCATGTTGTTCGACGTGTCAAGTGTCAGTTGTTACCGTCGACAAGCCCCTGTCCTTCCGTATTTTTGCCTGCCTTTGCCTTTCTGCCCTCCCTATCTCTCCCATTTCTTGAATTATTTCAGTTGACCATTACGATCGGTAATAAACAAATCCTGACTCGCCCTGCCCCCTATTGCTCACGTAACTGACTGCCGCTTTGGTGTCCAGCACATAGTTGAATGGGAAGCGAAAAGTGCTGCGCTCCTGGCGAAAGCGTATCGGCAGCGGGTGGAAGCAGATCGACTCCTCGACGATGCGAGAGATCGGCTGCCGAAGGTGTCGCAGAGCGTCAAGACTTTGCGAATGTACCTCGAATACCTCAACCTCGCCAGAAGGCAAATTGAACTGGAGCGAGAGTTTGGGTTGGGTGCTCTGCGAACTAAGAAACCGGCGGAGAGCGCGGTTCGAGGGCAGCTCAACGAATCAACGAGCTGCGGGATTGAAGTGCGTAGTGAGGAGGATGTGCTTGTGTACCCTCTAGCTTTTTTGGGTCACCGTCCGGTAAACACATAGATCGTGCTCGATAGGCTGGTGTCCTAGCGTTCTTTCGCAAGCCGCCAGCTACGATGTCGTTGCGCTGGGACCCACATCTAAACATCGCAAGTGTCGCCGAACAATTCTAGATGTCACCCGTCTTTTGTGCCTTATAAGTCATGGGTTGTCCACGCTCTGTCCATTGACTGGTCAGTGGGATGAGTATGCATCATCCGTTTCGAAATGCTCCTCCGTTTCCGTCTACTCCTGCTCGCAGCAAACCCAGTTACGCTCCCTATGCAACTCCTACTTGGCCAGGAGTCGCTATTCGACGCCACCATCAAGTCTCTCCAACATGAGCGCCAGGACGATGATGCCGAGGGAGGAGCAACGACAAGAGCAGGGGACGGCGTGGGAGGCGTGGCCGGGGCTGGTCCGAGCGCTCAACCGTCGGCCCTCACGGAGGAAGGGGCCAGTGTGGGACCCGAGCTTTCCGGGCTAGGCACCATTGTGTCGAGTGTAAACCCGTGGTCCTAACCGTCCGTGTTGCACGGACTCGCGTCTATTGCCAGGGAAAGGATGTTTCGATAGGATGTTTCGATAGGATGTTTCTTCCCGCGGCGCACATGGTCAATCATTTGTTTGTTGTCCTGCACAGGGAAAAGGTCCGTGTGCGTATCACGCCCGAGAGGCAGCATTTCTAACTGCCTCGTGCAAGGAAGGGGTGGAATTCACCGGTTGCTTCGCCGCCAACAACAAAGGTGAACTACGCGGCCCGATACTCGCGTTGGTCGTTTGTGGTGTTCATGTCTTCATATAGAGCACGTCGGCAAAGGTGCAGATGCTCCTCCTCAGCAACCAGCAGCAATGTAACCCCTAGCCAAGGTCTCAACCATCACTGCCCGCCTCTGAGAAGTCATCTCTAGCTACCAAAGTCTTGCACACGTCGTCTCACTGCGTGCCCGCCTTGATATCGAACGCACCCCACTGCAGCGATTCAATACCACTACCCCACCTTGAACAAGGACGAATAGTCTGCCTCTCAAGAACCTATGTATGGTAAGACAGCGAGGGTCGAGGGAGACGCCCTGACACAATCACGCAGCACGATGCAGAATCGCTGCCTGTATTCACTCGTGCAGCTTCCTCTGCTGCTGTTGCTTGCTGCGCATAAAAAAAAAGCACAAATCACGGCTCGTTCCATTCCCTGTGTGCCAGCATTATATCACGTCTGCCTGCCATGGTGAATCTGAGGGTGCCGTGACATTATTTATCGCTATGTTTCGTGGGCTATGCTGCTCCCTGTTGATCTCGAAACGCCGCGCTGAGGGCATTGGCAGCGCTCCTTAGATCTGGTCTTCGGATGTCTCCCTGCTTCACAAGTCCTGCATCGCAAGGAACCTGACAGACAAACAAGAAACCATTGCAAAGAAGGCACGCACACAGACAGCACGTTGGGGTGAGGGTGTGGGGGTTGACCATCATTTTGCATACATTTTTTGGACTAAGACCATTCGGTCTTTGCCCGTACTCTTGGGTACATTCATTAATTGCGAAAGTACGGTCGCATTGCTGCCTAACGAGAGAAGTGATTAAGGCAGAATACAAAGGGGACGTAATAGATGCAGAACAAAAAGATGGTCACAAAAACGCGAAAAGATCGCCCGGAGGTTGTCTAAACTAGCTCGATATGAAGCGGGAACCGTGCTCTGTTTCGACGAGTATGCGTGGTCAACAAGTCGAAGACCCCGGAAAGGACACAAACGAGCACACACAAGCACACACCCTCCTTTTGCCCTACCGTCCCCTTAACTACAACTTTTATCGCTCACGGTATCTTCCTCCCGCCAGACCGATGCCCTCTAGTCATCCAAGTTTCTCCTCCGTGGTCATTCTCGTATTCTACTTCATTTTCTTCTAATACCCTTGTCTTCTAAATCTGTTCCTAAAACCTACAAACCCATGCCCATGATGCGCTCATCGGCGAAACAAGGATTGAGTCTTTACCTCTCAATCCTTCAACCTACCTGCCACGCTTACCAATAGGGAGCCGTTATACATATTTATCATATACTCCAATTTCGCATCATTGTACTCTTTCATGAAGATTGGTTCCCAATGTTGTGATCGTTTGGAGCCAGAGAGGGGTCAAGAACAAAAAAGAGGGCCTCAACCGGCAACTCCTCTCACCACTTTGTTCGAGTTAGCCAGGTAGGCTGTAAAAGGACCCGGGTACTGACGAACCACGGAACCCCACCCGGAGATAGGCTTGAAGTAGTACACCGGCTCGAAGGGCACGTAGCCGTTCACGAAAACGCCGTTAACAATGACCACAGTGGTTGTCTCGGCCATTTGTTTTGCAAGCTTCCACTGGCCCTGGTCAGCCTGGCTCACATTGTGAACGGCATAGAACGAGGGGGGGGGGGGTACTCATAGTCGTGCATGCCGTAGTCGTTAGACCATTGACCTCGCATCCCTACAAAGCCGGGACGGAGCACGCCGGGTTCTCACCGGACCAGGCTCTCACATCACCAAGCGCGAAGCGCCGTGAGATATTCGGCGAGTCGCATGAAGGGTGCGCTGCATCCTGCTAAGGGTTTTCGGCATCTTGTGCTTACTTCCTTGCGTACGGATGACAGCTGCGTATGACTTAATTTATTTTCTGGTGCTTTCACTTCCAGAGACAGTTGTAAGCACTGTGTAACTGCCTCGAGGGTGCTTGACCATTTTAACACAACGTGGTGCGATCATCCCCCTTGCGCGGAGTGAGGGTTCTCCACCCCGCACAACATGATCTACTCGACCACCATTATGGTAACCGCCAAAAAAAAAAACACGGAGANGGGGGGGGGGGGGGGGGGGGGGGGGGGGGGGGGGGGGGGGGGGGGGGGGGGGGGGGGGGGGGGGGGGGGGGGGGGGAGGGGGGTTAGTGCGCTAGACACGCCAAGAGGGTTCTCGCCCGTCAATATACCACAAGCAACCTGAGGAAAAGCAGGCCCTCCAACACGGTAAAGCGCGTTCACGATCGGTACCCGATCGCAATTGTTCACGACGCCTAATACAAAAAAAAAACGACTCAGAGTGTGTGAAGCCTTGCGGAACAGGCGACCGAACAGAAGGCAGAGCGTGCCTCACCGGCGTCACCACCACCACAACGTCCCCGGCCTTGGCCGGCGGCAGGTTCTTGGCGTTGATGTCGCGCACGTCGGCTGCTCCCCTGACCCCGCTACCGAAGTCGGCCTTCGCCCCCGGCTGGCAGCACACCACGTACGCTTTCTTGCTCTTGCCGATCGCACCGACCAGCTGCGGCGAGATGATACACGAGGGAGACAAACGAACTCTCAGGGCTACGGGATGCGGTACACATGGGAGAACACAAAACGACCAGCAAGAAGTGAAACACTGGTATCGCGTTCCATCTTTGCAGAGTTAACAAATCCCAACAAGTTGTTCATTCGCATCGGGAGTCGATCAGGGTACCCATTGCGAAATGCCCAGAGCGAGGAAGCTTGGGGGCAGAAGGCCTTCACTCAAAGTGAACACATAATGGCTAGAAGAGAACCAAGCGGCGGTGCCAATACCAGGGACAATAGGGAAAACGCATGGTACCTACGGCTAACGTGGAAGTGGAGATAGAAGTCACAACGGCTATGGGACGTGAACGACAACGTGGCCAACCCAATGGATAACTTGTGTTCACCTTCTTTGCGAAACTTAGGGTGTTCTCCCGCGCCAGTCTTCGATTCTTGGCGCTGCCGTCGTTAATCTTGTTCAGGGAGGCCAGCGGGGGAAACTAAAAGCAGAATCCCAGGCAGTACAAGGTCAGACAGAGCAGGGAAGCGACAGCGACGGAGAGGAGAGGGAGTGTGCGAGAGAATAAGGGAGTGAAGGAGAGACAGAGGCAAAGAGACATTTTCAGTGAGACAGGAGTGGTACATCTAAGGAGTTGAGTGAATACGACGTCGGCCGAATTTGCTCGTTTCAGAACATGGTTTGGAACAGAACTGGCGAAAACTTGATGCTATGCCTTTGAGCTGACAAGACCAAGAGCTACGCCTGCCTACATACTGCTGCATGCTCTTTGGCCGTGAGCGATTCGTGTGGGTGTACGGGTCTCCTGAGAGGACAGCGTGAAGAGGTGCGGGAGAAGAACATCATCAACGAACGGACATCGGTCTGACTGACCTCGACTTCCATGGCCCCCTCTCCTGAGAGAGACAGCGTGAACAGGTGTGGAAGGAGAACATCAGCATCAACGAACGGACATTGGCCTGACTGACCTCGACTTCCATGGCCTTCTCTCCGCTCTTGAGCCCCGCCTGCACAGCAGCGATGGCCTGAGCCGCGATCGCGTCGTAGTTGGCTGGGGGGCCCTTTATAGCGCCCCCCCCGAAGCTGAAGAAACACCTTGGGGTTGGGTTGGGACACGTGCATCATGATTGAAAAGATGAAAATTGTTTAGAGACAACGACAGACGGATTAATAAGTCGAAGAAGCCTTGGGATGCCGTTCGACGAACAGCAGTATAATGTCACTCAAACCCTCGGAAGGGGGACTTGTGTAAAGATACATGCAGCGTGCACAACGACGCCGTCCGTGCGCCGTGCCAGGCCGAGAAGGGTGCATCTACACCGTCCGTGGCACACGGCGGAAAGCACAACACCCCGCACAAATCGTATAGCAGACCGGCGAAAAGAAGCCAAGCTTTGGACATCACAGAATGAAACACATTCCGGTAATGCCCTTTTCAAAGGCTTGCTGGCGGTTGCATGAACTCTGAAAAAAAAAAAAAATGTACCAGATGAACATGCGCTGCATACCTCACACGACGACGTATCATACTACATAAACTTCCGCATGCAGTCTCCACAGCAAGCCAGAATGCCCTCTAGCAACAGTAGGCGTCCTTGCCTTGCTGCGCATTTCATCAAATGTACCTTACGGTCTCTCGCTGGAGCTGCCGGCGGTGATTCCGCGACACATGATGCTGCACATGCTGCTGTCTGCTTCCAAGTGCAACATGCGACGTTCGTGCTCCTATACCGACCTGGAGGAACGGGGTCGCCGGTTCGAAACAGCACGACAAAAGGACGCACGAAGCTAGCACAGACCCTTTCGCCATGATGTGGACGTGGTATCTCCTCGGCCTGGAAGGGTCACTGAGGAAAGACATGAAAATGCTGTATGCAGCTGGCGCAGGGGAGACATGGCTAGGACTTCCTTCTTGGATAGGGAGGAATACGCTTGCTGTGTACATTTCACGGGGCCCCAAGCGGTCGCCCCCGGCGCCCCGCGCCCCGCACAGGGCCCATAGGCAGGGGAACAAAAGTGAAAAACGACGCAATTTTATTGGTCAACAGCACATTCCGAGATGGAAAACGACCCCGAGACCATGAAAAACGACGACATGTGATTGGGCCAAAGCACCCGAATTGGGCCGCTGCCGCCGAGACACATGACAACACATGATGACCACACCCAACACAGACCACAATAGAAGCACAACAGCCCTCCCACAGCAACCGTGGAGCCAGCGCTCCCCATGGGGCGAAATCCAGGATCAAAACCCAAGGATGGCGCACAAAAAGCGGGTCGGAAAACAAATGCGGAGAGGAGAGGATAGCTGCGCAGCAGAAGAACCAGGCGGCCGCGTTCGCAAGGATGCTTTCCCGGCACCCGCAAGCCCAGCCATCATCAAAGCGGCCACGGGTGAGTGAAGACCAAAGTGGGGAGGGAAGCAGTGCGGAT